CAATCTTCGCACTCCATATATAGACTAACATATTTGCGCTGTTGCCCCCAACCACACTTGGAGTGGGTTGTTTCCGTAGGTGGATTTTTGACACGGGTCTTGCCCGTGTTGAGATTGCGCTGGAACCCCCATTCCCTATACTACTGGGCCAACATCAGGGGAAATTGGCCAGAATTCCCAAACGCAGTGGGCGCTATGGACGCAACCCCGCATGAGATATATACCGGCCCATAACAGAGCCCCAGAGATCGTTCTATGGTGGCCACCGTCACTACCACTGTTTCAACACCCAACTTATCATTGATAACCTTGGACACTTGAGATATGTTCAAGCCGGGTTTCTTGGTAGTACACACAATGCGACAGACTGATGACCGCATTGGACCAGGACAGCCTTTGGACCTATCACAAGGTGCAAAAATTTTAGYGGACAGGGCTTATCCTGATGGTGGACCATTGCTGACGGCCGTAAGAGTAAATCAAAATAGGTAGGCCATAGGGTAGGCCATAGGGTAGGCCATGGCCCAGGCCATGGACCCGGGCCCAGGTTTTGTTGCCACCCATATCTTTGTTAGTGTTTCTATTCTGAGAAACATGAAGTGGCGTTGTAAGAATGATTTCCTCTACTTGGCAAATAAACTCCTAGTTGTGACTCCTAGCAACACCCCTCGCTTTACATCTAACGGTAACCCAGTCTCTGTTTGTTTATTTGTGATTACAGTAAATGTACTGATGGTTTTCACAGCCGCCATCTTGGATGAATTTAATAAAAGATTAGTCATTAGTCTATTTTGTTATAACATCCAACATGGGCGCCGTGTCGTTTGTTATTTCATTCTCTTGGAAACGATTGAAAAAATGAATTTAGGTTTTTTCGTAACTCATATTAATAGTTTGGCGCATGCGTATCATTATTGCAAAATTTGGTGGCCATTTTGTATGGTTCCAASGTAGATTTCATAGATTTTTCTCTGTAGAGTTATTCAGATCCTTATATAGATATAATTCTTCGATTAACCATTGTCTTGACCGTATCTCCCATGGGTATTATATATTATATATCCATACCCGGACCCATAGGCGTCTTTGCTCTCGTTCGCAATGGCAAGGATTTTTCTTATCGACGATCTTAGTGGCGTTTTAAAAAGAATACGATAGGTTGCTGTAACATCTTCTTGTGCATGTACGATAGGCTATAAACCGCAATAACAAAAGAAACTATCTTACAAGGTAASTTGTCAAGTAGCTAGGCTTTATACCCGGGCTTTATATAACGAAGTCTGCGCTGAGATCACTTACATATATATTACATACATACATACATACATACATACATACAAACTTTATTGAAGCTCCCTTTGACACGGCTTTTCAGCCACAATGTAACAGAAATAAAGTATAAAATAATTTACAATCCATTAAAACTATATACATAAAATATATAATTATTCGAAATCTATAAGGATAATCTATAAAAACTACAAATACTAATCTAATCTTTATTAAATATCCTTTTAAAAAGGCCACGCTTAAAACTATTAATATTTATACTATTTTTTAGATCAGTAGTATTGATATTATGTGCCAGCCAGAGCTTATTGGCTACTGAAACAAAGAGATCTTTTGTTTTAATGATTGGCAAATTTGAATGAAAAAAGATTCCTGATGTCAATGTTTTTGTAAACAGTGAATATCGCTATATTTATTTACATAAATCTCTCAAACCATTTTTGGCGGTTAAGTTATCAATTAGTATCAATATTAGTATCAACTCAGTTTTTGGCTATCAATGTTTTTATTAGTTAATTGATTTCAATGGAAACCAATTATCATTTTTACCAATTGACCATGCATATTGCATCAATACCACATATTTCTCTTTTCATCACGGAAGAAAAAGTGCAAAATCAAAGTGCCTATACCCTTCTGACAATACTCTCAGCGTTGATTCTAAATGGGGTAAGATGTGGAATGACCCGAAAATATTTTATAGTTTGAGTGCGGCTTCTTGAAGTGAAAGGTTTTTCCATGCCATATGCTAATGTTGTGACGTATGAGGAGGCATTTATATGGTTATTTGTTGTTCCTCATAATTCGAAACACCGGCTTCTATGTGAAAACTAACTTGGAATAATTTCGATTAGAGCAATGGGAAAAACAATGACGCATTTTAAATTTTATTTATGTGTGCCAGTAATGTTTTGTATATATATTTTATAATTATTCCTCATACGTCACAACATTAGCATATAGCATGGAAAAACCTTTATAATTTCAAGAAGGCGTACTCAAACTATGAAATATTTTCGGGTTATTCCACATCTAGCTCTTACCCCATGTAGAATCAATACTGTGAATATTAATTGTCAGAAAGCTAAGGGTGATAGGCACTTTAATAATCTTTCAATTTCCAGCTTTTGCTTTCCAGAGGCCAGTAAATATCAGTCAATAGTTGGACTTTTTATCTTGCCTACATGTACAATAACTTAAAAACAGTGAACTAAAGTGTCTAAAATTCGCAGTATGTATGTAAAATTGTGTAGTAATAGGCTGTCTACTGCATACAGAAAGTATCATTGCCGATTTCATGGCTAATGCATAAATACCATCTTCAGGAACCCAGGGGTAAAATTCTGTGCTCTCTTTTATGATGCTTGATGCAATGAGCACAGAATTTTTACCATGATCTTGAATTTTCTCACTATCTGATAATGCTAGAGCCAGGGGAAATAGGAGGACATACCAATAATAAAGTAATTGCCAGCAAATCATGCACATGCTTGGATATATATTTTTGCTTTCAAAATTTTCACCTTGTTTTTTTGTAATAAAATTGTCATTTTTTTACTAGGTAAAAAAACAATTTGAACCACCAGCTTTTCATGGTGTGTCCTCTTTTCTACCACTTTGTTCATCACCTATATAGCCATCAAAATATGTTGTGGACTCCCTAGGCTATGCCCTGTGTTTTGGAGGCTAAATGATGACAATAGTGGTATTTATATATTATAATTATGATCAATATTTATATATATGTGATGATAATTAGATTTTTTAAGCACACTTACAGCACAATCCACACTTAATGTATGCACATCTTTGCAAAGGTTCTGTACATTAAACCGACACATTTCAATGCAAAGCTGGTTGGTTTTACTAAATAAGGTGTGCAAATGCTCATTTGGCAGGAATAAGCCTGTGCATAGAACTATATGTCAATATAAGTTACTGAATGTGTTCTATTGTAAATTAATTAATCTTTTTTGAAATTTTATTATATCATTGCTATCGAAAATTCCTCTCAATGTGGAAGAAATTGTGAGGGGGCATCAATAAATTTCAAAACGTCGTCACCATCAGTTTACTCATAAGAGCAGGATCTTAACAGTCCCAATAAAAGATGAATTCACACTGATTCTTGCTTTTCCAAAACTTAATTAATTTATAATTCCTTGTTCTGAAAGTTTGTAATTATTCCAATTTCAAGTAAAGGATCACAGAAAAATCTGAGAAAACTATTCAGAGCACAGGTATTTGGACTCAAGCAGTGATAGGGGAAGTAAGAAAGTGAAAGCATTTTAGTGTGCAAACAAAATTGTTATGGGATACATACTGATGAGTGTATGAAGTACGAAGGTTTGGAGGAAAGAGAGAAGCATATAATATATAAGGAGTTAAGGATAGTGGAGATTAAACTGTGCTCTTTATATATATATGGTGATGTCAACTAGATTTCCTAGTCAAAAAAATTTCCGTCTTCCAGGAACTTTTTTGAAAAAGAGCAGTAGGAAATTATAAAACTCGAACTCTTGAAAAACTGATAAGATTGTTCAAAAAATTATTCTCATGGTTGAAATCTGTGTTTATTTAACATTAAGAAAAGACAGTCAATGTCATTAACGTTGTCCACTGAATAAAGACATTTAGACATTTTACACATTTAGACATTTATAGACTAAAAGAAATATTACGTGTTTCATAATGTATTCTTTGCCTTGTGTGCATCAGCCTTAACTTTAAATGTAAAATTCAATATTGGTGAATCTGAAATCCAGAATGCCCTGAACATTTAGTGCAGATTTAAGATGGAGAATGGTATTTCACGTTTGTTTTATGCCAGAACGTCAGATGAAACACGCGGTATTTCTTTAAGTCCAAATGTGTAAATGTGTTTATGTCTTTTTTCGGAGGACAACGTTTAATAATGACATTGACTGTATATGCTTTCGTATCCATTAGAAGAATAGCTAGTGCGATATGACGTTTTTAGTGAACATCGGTTGTGAAGGTCTTCTGGTACCTTAAGTATAGTAACTATAGGCTTGTTGAAGAAACAATTTACTAAGGTTTAATTATATATATAAGGTGGCTCGGTATTTCCAAATGGCCRAATCACTGATGTCAATTTTGGACTCATAACTTTTGCGCCCTTTAAGCAATTGCCATGAAATTTCACCAACATCTAAAACAATCATTTAGTTATAATATGGTATATTCTGATTGTATTGTTAATAATCCGATGTAATTAAGCGTTTAAGCAGCACTGTTTTCACAAAAGCTCGTTTTATTTCAATGAAAAATTTGGGATCCTTTTAGATAAACATAACACATAACCTGGCCAAGTTTAAAGAAATTCCATTCCTTGGCGCTGAAATACCGCTACAGAAAGCTCACCTAAATTCATCATTGTGATAATCTTTTAAAGTTGTGAACTAAAAAATAGTCTTTGACTAAACATGCTTGAAAGCCATAGTTTTTAAAAAGTAACCGCAATTTAACATATATATCCAAATGTCATACCGCAATATTGCCAATCTGTAGCGGTATTTCAGCGCCAAGGAATTTCTTTAAACCTGGCCAGGTTATGTAATAACCTAAGTATATATAATTGACAAAGAATCACAAGTTTTTTTGGGCACAAGTTTTGAAATAATGACAGACTCATAGTTCTAAAAAACCAAATCTTTTCAATAATAAAGCTTATTACCATTTCTCTAGATTTAATCCTATAAAACTTGAATAAAAACAAACAAGAAATACATATGAAATTGAAAATTTACCATTTATTAATATCTAGGTGTGTAATTATAGTTTTGAAAATCTTTTTTTGGTCGCTTAACACTTTATTCATCAAAGTCTTTTATTTTGGAGTTTTCAATCTAAAAAATGAACTTATTTTACCAAATATTTCAGAAATTCCTTTTTGCTGTTAAGTAAAAAGTTGATAATAACTTCACTTCAAACCGGCCCAATAGTCTTCCTGGAACTAGAAAGCTTTATAAAATGTCGAGTTTTTCTCTGTGTGTGCTTTTTTTTGTATCTCGTTAAATTCCTGGATTTTATATTCTCAATTGACTTGTGCCAACTATAATAATACATTAAACATGAGTCGGTAACTGTATTCTTAGTTGAGTGTCCTTATATAATTATATACACATGTGACTATTATGATGTAATCAAATAACTAATAAGTGAATTATTACAAAACAACATTCCTCCCTTTGTTTAGAAAGGTTTTACTAGCCTAATAACAATAACAATGTTATAGATATAAAATGTTTCTAATATTGAAAATGTTTAACTTTTCTGTTGCTAGTTGCTATGCATATAATCTTGTAAATATACTGGTTGTGATCTTGACCTTGTAAATCTTCAAGGGAAATTGATATTTCCTTGTGCAGGTTGTGAAGATAGTTGTTGATTGGTGCTGACTGGCTGATGTTGATGACGATTATTTTGACCTTGTGTGTTTGAAACAGTTATGTCATCTTCCTCATCATCGTTGTGCTGTGCTCTCCTGTCTGTCATGGTCCAATACTTCTTTACATGTGAGGCATTTCTTCTGTGTTTAATAATAATAATAATAATAGGCTTTATATCAAGAGAATAAACCCGTACGAAAATATGAGGCTGACAGTAGCGTGAATCTGGCGCAAGTCAGGCCATAATACATTTTAATTACCATGAATAGAGCGATACTGAGCCATACATCAAAAAATTCTCGTTCATCAGAAGTAGCGAAACATTTGTCTGGCTGTGTTAAGACTTTAATCAGGCCAGAATTCTTTYGTTATCGGGAATCTTTACCGGAAAGGCGATCGCATATTTTTGTAAGTATTTGTCGGACCGTTTTATCGCCCAGAATCAGGCCCGATTGGTACTTTAGCTTGGAATCCCGCGGGTGTATTACCCATAATGCACCYGATRTAGTTATTGCTATATACTTGGTTGGATCAGAATTTCTGCATATCGCTGTATATATATATATATATATATATATATATATATATGTATGTATGTATGTATATACAGCTACATTTCACATTTTAATAAGCCTTGTTTACTTATTACTTAGTTACTTATTAAATGATGAGGTAGAAATGCATGGATCACTGGAAAAGTGAGGTATCATGATCAAACGTAAAAATTGACCAGAGTGACACATAAAAACATGCCTGCCATGCATTGCAATAAAGATACAAAAATCATTATATTTTTTATGCAATGTAATTCATTTATTAAATTGTTGCAATGTTTTTTAATTTGGTGGCCTAAAAATCCATAATTTAAGGAGGAAAATTGACATCTCAGGTTGGCAAGTTTTCTTGATTTATTAGCTGATTGGCTAACATTTACCCCTTCAGATAAGCTGGATATTCTGTTTCAAGGGACCATATTTTCTGACTACTCTTAACTCAATGACTTAWTCAATTACTTGTTCAGTAAAATTATATGTATACATAAATATTCGTACAATCCATGATTATACGTGTGTTTTTCTTTGTACCAAAAGCACAAAGAGTTTTTTAGTTATGATATTTTGATATTTAATCGTCGTCGKTTTGCTAGTCTTAATCACTATAGATGTAAACAGATGATTTTTTTAAATAGAAAAAGACATGTATTTGATACATGTATAAGCAAGTGTACATTGCTTTTAGATATATGAAATGTTTTGAGACACATCAAACCCATGATTCTTTAGTGGGTTGCTTATAGGGTTGGTTTATAGTTGATTATATATGAATTGTCTTTTTATTATTACCGTAGGTGCAATATGCTTGGATGTAAACACAAGGGAGTTGAATGTATAAGATGAATCAAGATGAAGATGATTCTGGATTGGCTGAAGTATGTAGGTCCCCTCACAATCATATGTATGAAAGCAAAGGTTTTACATTGTCATCATGATTGACTTCTTTCATCAGTATTTAATCCATCAATGTGTTTACATTGAGCAATTAATTATTGGATGAGGTTGAGCATGATAATTAGGCTGCATGCAACATCATCATCATCATCATCATTATCTTTGAGGGTCTTCACACTTCTGGCTGAGAACATGTGAAAATCCTGTGAAAAACCTGTGAAAATCATGAGCTAATTTTTTGCATTTCACATGATTTTCACACAATTTAACAGGTTTTACAAAGAATTAGACCAGCTGTAAAAAGGAACACTTTCACAGGTTCCAATCCTGTGAAAAACCTATGAATAAATTTCACAGGTTTTGGTTCCAAATCCAGTGAAAAACCTGTTAAACATTAGCCTGTGAAAAATATTTTGTGGAAAATTTCACAGGCTTGGAAAAGAATGAAAACCTTCCAATTGGAATTCAGCTGATGAATAGCCACTCTGTGGAAAACACTACTGTTATCCTTAAGTAGGATTGTAAGAAGGATCGTGGATCCTATGCGATATCTTTTTAGAATTTTTTATTAAGAAACTTTTATAATGTCAAGTTAAATTTACTGTAGCTGTTGATTTAAGTGTCATAAGTATGATCATATGCCTTCAAAATACTTTGAGGAAAATTAGAATTATATAAAGGCACTTTCAGCTGTTTTTACAGGTTTTTCACAGGTTTCTCCACAGAAAATAAAATTCACAGGTTTTTCCCACACAGGTTTAAAATGTTCACAAGTTTCAAAAATTAAGATTTTTCCAAGAATGGACATGAAATCAGCTGTGTAAAATTCAAAAATTAAACGAGACTTACCTGTAAGTTGAAGTTTGATTGGAATTCTATCTGTCACCAGGCGCTGTGGGATTACGCGAGATAGCATTGCGCCTGCGCGAAGTCAGTTTTTAAAGGACTTACCATGTGTGCAGTGGAAAACTACTGTCAGTAATTATTATTACATGGGATGGGACATAAGGACGGGCACGTAATCCCTCAGCGCCTGGTGACAGATAGAATTCCAATCAAACTTCAACTTACAGGTAAGTCTCGTTTAATTTTTGAATTCTATTCTGTCACCGCACTGAGGGCTCACGTGAGACTTCAAAGCCCAATGCACACATGAACAYAACATGTTAATAAACAACATGGATTATTGACTAACTGATGTCAAAATCTTATTAGCAAAACTGTTGTCTACATCTCCCTGAATTGGTTTATCATAAAACTTAGCAAATGTGTTTTCTGAACTCCACCCGGCTGTGGACAAATATCTGATCTAATGGCACAGAACATGCAGTAGCTTTAGAGGTAGCCRCTGATCTTGTACTATGTGGTTTAAATGTATCTGTATTAATTCCCGAACTGTTCATGACTACTTTAATCCATCGACTGATCGTGCTTCTGGATACTGGGTGGAATGGTTTCAAATAACTGATAAAAAGTTGCTTGTGGTCTCCACGCAATGACTCTGTGTGTGCTAGATAATTCCTCAAGGTAGTGACAACGCAAAGATTAGAGTCAAGTGGGTATGAATTAAACTTGACAGATAATGGCTTACTCCCTGGCTTAGTTTGCTTAATAGGGGTAGAAATTATGAAAGTAACTGATGTCTCTGTGGTTATCATATCTCCAATACTGAACATATGAATAGTTTGTCCTCTTTGAGCCGATACGAGAGCCATTAACATAACTGTTTTTAAAGTCAAATCCTTTAGTGTTGTCTTTTCTGAGTCACTGGGTATTGTCTTAAGGTAGCGCAGTACCTTTCCTACATCCCATGTTTCTGTGTATCTTGTTGCTGTTGGCCTGGATTCAAATACTCCTATAAGGAAACGTGTAACAGTAGGATGAGTACCAAAGGGAATACCATTAACAGGATTCAGAATACAAGAGAGAGCTGACTTTGCTGTATTTATACTGCTGTGACCAATGCCCTGTTCATATAACTCAACTAAAAAGTCTAATGCTTGGGCAATAGAGGGATTAACGAAGTCAATCTGTTTCCTATGACAATAGTTGTTCCACCTCTTGATATAGGAGTCATACTGTTTTTTGGTCCCTTTCCTCCAGGACTGCAGTATGATGTCTCCAGCTCTTTTAGAAATGCCCTGTGTTTCAAGGGATCTCCTGTTAGTCTGCAGGCCATCAGTATCATTTTCGTGATAAGTGGGTGTGTTATGTCCTTCTTTCCTAGCATTTGTAGAGTTTTTACTTGGTTTGGTAGAGTCCTTGGTACAGCTGTTAACATGTGTAACAGCTGAGAATACCATGGTTGGGTTGCCCACATGGGAACTATTAGAATGCCTTCRGACTCCTCCATCTGTATCTTCTGCAGGCAACGAGATATTWAACTAARTGGAGGGAAAKCATAGAAAAATTGGTTATTCCAACTTATTGAGAAAGCATCCACAAAAGTTGCCTCTGGATCAGGTTTCCAAGACACAAAACAAGGAACTTGCTTGTTTAGTCTTGACGCAAATAAATCAMTAGAAGGCTCTCCCCATATTTTGGTTATTTGTTGAAAAATGTTTGGGGACAGCATCCACTCCTTGTTATCATTAAATACTCTAGACTCTTTGTCTGCATGTATATTGTCTTTCCCTGGAATATGGGCACATGACAACCAAATTTGCCTTTCCATGCAAAACAGCCAAATGGCTTTTGTAACACCATTACAATCCATGGAGTGTGTCCCCCCCATTGCGTTTATATAGTTAACAGTAGTGGTATTATCAGAATAAATGAGAATATGCATGTGTTGAGTGTAGATTACTACAAAAAGATTTCAAACCATAGAGTACAGCTGTTAACTCGAGGCAATTAATGTGTTTGTTTGACTCACTCTCATTCCACCTGCCTCCTGTTCTGTTAGAACCCATTACTGCACCCCACCCTAAGTTGGATGCATCAGTGTACATGATGTTGTTACACTCAGAATTAGGTATACAAATGGGGTAATCCACATTTTTTATGTTGTCACACCACCACTGTAGTTCTAGCTTACTTTCATCTGATAACTTTAAATGACACAGGTAATTTCCATTGTTCTCCTTAAGGGCTTTAGTCTTATCAGATTCAAGGTTTCTATAAAAAAGAGGGCCATGCAAAACCCCAGGAAAACTAGATACCAACAGACAAATAACTACTGCTAGCTCTTGAATAGTGATGTTCTCACTTCTAMGCAATCTGAGGCACTTATTCTCAATGTTGATTATCTTTTCAGGGGTTAAACTCACTGTCATTGTCACAGAGTTAAGGATAAATCCCAGAAATATCAAAACCTGTGTTGGTTCAAGTATTAACAGATTGAGGACCATCAATCTTTATTTCGATTTGTCCTGTCTGAATCTCTTCTGGTTTTGGTTGTACAGCTGTCGCTCGCCGTTTCGCCAGCCTAAAAAAGACCTCCTATTTCGACCTCCATGTCCCCTCGAACCGTAGTTGTTGTAGTTTTTGGAGTCTCTGGAGTAATAACGTGGCCTCGTAGAGGTAGAGGAGCCTGCAGTAGTGGTTGTAACTTTCTTACCAACACGATTCACTTCGGTCAGGTCTTTGACCTCCTTCGCTAAATCATCTCCAAATAGCTGGTCGGTTATATTGAGAGCTAAATTTGCTGAACAGAGATGTTTATAATCATTGTGTAGGTCGGGCTTAATTTGTTCTCTTCGCCTCTGATTAAGCTCTATATTTGCATTGGCAACGAGAGCAAAGACATCAGTAGCTCCTTGGAGTAATTCGTTTCCCGAGGGAATTGAAGACAGCTTGGTGAGCAGTTTATCTATCATGGTTGTCAAGGTGCACATGAATTTGAATAGAGACGTTTGCACTTTCTGCAATTTTACGTCTTGAGAGTGACAGTTGGGCTCAAATTATCCCAGACTGCCTGATTTACTCTTACTTTGGCCAAGTGTTGACAGTTAGCTGGGCGATAGTACTTGTTCATTTTTTCCTGGAGTTTTTYCTCYGTCAGCCCGTCTTTAATCAGAGAGTTTATTATGCTCGCGAGTTCAGTGTCCACATCAGGACCTGTTTCCTCTTTCTGAAGTTCTTGTTTGAGGCTATTAAGCACTTCACTCTTTTCCTCATTAGAGGCTGGTTTGTTTTTGGTGGATCTACCGATTAAATTACCCAAAGACGTATCAACGTYCATACTAGTATCGTCGCTGACCTTTTCACAGCGCTTCTTCGCGGGGGGTTCCTCCTCATTATCATCGTAGACGACTTCTAGCTCTCCTCTCAGTGTCTGAAAAGCCTCCGAAATGGCATTAGCCATTTTCGTGGAAAGCTGAGCAAACCCTTCATGCATTACATCTGAGAGGAGCTRTTTTTCTGAGTTGTCAACAGGATTTGTATTGACACCAATTTTGGCGCCATTTTCCTTCTCCACTACCTGGACTTCGATATGCTCTTTAACCGGGGAGTCCTCTTCAATTCTCTGCTTCCTTTTCTTCGTAGAAACCTCTTTGCTCCGCTTTTGGTCATTAGGGTCGATTTTTGTGCTGTTATCGGGCATTTGAGAGGCAAATTATTCCCCCTCAAAAAACTCCTAACTGATCGCTTGTGAAGGCGGCAATACACTGACTTCATGCAGGCGCAATGCTATCTCAGGTGAGCCCTCAGTGCGGTGACGGAATAGAATTCACAGGTTTTTTCACAGGTCATTTTGATGTTACCTGTGTTTTCACAAGTTCTTCACAGGATTTTCGCAGGTTCTCAGCCAGTAGTGAATAGTTACATTGATTTTTTTATATATGCAGTGTACACAGTGTACACACAAAATATTGTAAGTAAACTTAGGTTTTTTTGGTGGGCTTGTAATTATTATTGTGGGGTCGGACACAATATCAACAAAGATAACTGAGTGTAATTAAATAAAGAATGTTAATAGAATAGAAATACACCTATTTGCAAGAACGTTGACATACGAAAATAGAACATTAGTGATTTAGTGGGATAGGAATTATATTAAAAAACAAAAGAAGATCACTGAAGCTGAACTTTTTCTTTTGTCTTTTAATCTATTCCTTTCTCGCTAAATTATTAATGTTCTAATATCGTATGACAACGTTTTTGCAAGTAGGTGTAGATACAGATTAGAAAATTTCTCTACCTCCAGCTCTTCAGATCTTGATTTCCCATTAGTCGTTACTAATGGGAGATCTACTTCCCCCAGTTGTGGATTTGTATGGGCAGTCTTTAATACAAGGCTGAAGAAAAGATCTTAAAAACAATATTTAAAACAAATACTGTTGCGTCTGAAGATAAATAAATAAATACATAAACTGAGGTTTGCATAAACATTGACCCTTTTGTGCATATTAATTCAACTATATCAAAAGTATATCAAAAATTATGGGACATGATGGACTGATATTTTTTTTGAGTTGTCCATCACTAGGGCTTTCTGAAAAAAATATCAGAGATGGTATCCCATAATTTCTAATATACTTTTGATACACTTTTGTGTATATACAAAGGATCATAATTTATGCATATTGCTGTATATACATATTAGGAAGCATTCACAAAAACTCGTTTGGGGGGGGGGG